CAGGGCTGTCGTTCCGTCATGGCAATGGGCGTTTCGTTTCCGACATGCGCTGTACGCAGTATACCAATCCAGAGCCAATCTCTCTACGGCTCTGGACTAATCACAAAGGACTGCGGCATCTGACCAATCACAGCAGTGAGGGCTCACGGAAAGGAGGGGTTTAGAGAGACAGATTCTTCGAACTGCTTCGCACGAGTCGTTTACAAATCATTTAGAAATGAGGTCAAATTAAATCTATTTTTTGAGAAAACTAACATGTTTTTTGACCTTGCATGCATGTAAACCTGTTTTAGGAGACTCAGAAAACAATATTAGCAACCTTAGAAATGGCATAATAGGGGCACTTTAAGCTAATCTTAACTCATCTCTTCCTATAAGCCACTGCTACAGAGCCTAAATAAACCAGCAGCTCTAAACCTGTCACCCAATACCCCAATCTTCCATTACAGCTGCAGAGAACAAAAGCAAGAGATAAAGGCAGGAGTTGGATGTGGATGAAATCTAGATGGACATGGGGAGGCTGAATCAGGGGGTTCAAATTACCTAAAGCCTGTACACAGGAAACAAAGCCCCATTCACAACAATATCATAACTCTGCATTCGATTGATTCATGCATAAACATGTAAATGTTTCACTGTTAAAATCATTTCTTCCAGCTGAGAATTTTTTTTTTCAAGCGGTCATGGGAGGAAAGTGTTACCCAGCATATTTCTGACATCAAAGAGACACATGACAAATAAAAACAATGTGTTCTTAAATTGGCTCAAAGTACCAAGCAAGTTTGATATCCTCAGACTGGACATCATACACTACACTCTGCCAAATCTGTCAACTCCGACTGTCCAGAATCTGCAGACTGGCTAAAATCTGGCTCGGACTTCAAACCAGACAGCAAATTAAGGCAAAATCCTGGACTAACATTTTGTAGTGTATCTCAGTCTTTAGTTTAAAAGCAGCACATCACAGGACTTGCTTTGTTAAAGAGGATCTGACATCACATTTATGTGGCTTAAACATTCGAATAGGTAGGGCAATACTCAATGTACATCATAAAAATACACTGAATACAGAAACTATTTTCACAATTTCGGTGCAACCCTACTACATGAAAAGCGCTCAAAAATCAGGTACATTGCATTTTGACTTCTTGTAAGATCTTGTATGAGTGCAGGTGTGTGAACGTACCTTTTGTATTTTCCTGGAGTCTTTGATTGAAAGTTCTTTATGTGGAACTTTACCAAACAGCTTCCAGCCAGGCTCTCTCTGTTCTTCCTGTGCACCCGTATCCTTCATCCTCTTAGCAAAAAGACTCCTTACAAATAAAGAAAAGAAATAAAAGGACCGAGTTAATAGAGAGCTACATCTACGGATAATTACCTTCTCAAATTTTTTTTAAAATACATATGTCGTCACTATTTTTAAGCAACGTGAATTCCACAAATGTGAATTTCACTAAATACACAGACCAAAGAGAGAAACTGAAAAGAATACTGCACTATAGTAGAGACTAGAGAGTGAGGCACAAGGGGGGAAAAATAACATTTGAGCTGTTTTAAAGGATCGAGAAAAGCTTCAAGAAAGTCCATGTTGCAGAGATAAAAAGGGCAGGCAATTTGGAGACACGGCCACGCTATTCAGAGGCTTCTCAACATTTTTGATCTACAAGCCATTTTTTTTATATTCCACAATGCTTGTGAAACAAATACATGAGTGCTTCAGCAGCACTGAAACTGATATGGTTGATGATGGTAATATGCAAAATCATGGGGCCAAAGCTGAAGTATATCAGTGTTATATCAAGTACTGCATATCATAGCTGAATTGGGGCCTGCAAGAAACTGTTTATTTTAAATGGACAATTTATATTAGAAAGAAAAATGTGAAAATATTAAATCACTTGTGATGAGAAACACCAGCATACCCTATAATCAGAAATTGAGATAGAAATGGAGATTACAATTGAAACATTGCAAATGTAGGTTGTTATACTAAAAGACAAAACAACAACAACAAAAATCACAGAAATAATATTTTTAGGATGCTACCCCAATACAAAAACCTATATATAAAAATTAATATTTTATTAAAAAAAGATAAAGAAATATCTTCATAAATATTCAGAATTCCAGCAGAAACAATAGAGAAAAAGGGTACAC